ATCTTATATCGTCAGTTGCGACTGTAACAAACCTGGTGTAAGTGGATGCATGAACCCAAGTCTGGCACTCACAGCATGAGCCACACTCTGGAATTCTTCAGTTTTCTCAAAAAGTTTTCTTTCCTTGTACGTCTCGCCGTTTTTATACACTTCACGTAGCCAACGAGGACAGGCTTTGTAGAACTAAATTCCACGAAAAGCCAAAATTAACCATTAAATATTAATGAGAAAATGTACAAGTAGATTCTAGAGAGTAATATTTCCTGATCCTTGTTGCAAGAAATTTTTTATGCTTAAGACTACAATTCTAAAAAAAAAATGACTGAAGCGCTTTTCCAAAGAGACTGTGCATGTAGCTGAATCTGAGCACTTGGTGATACTGTATTATGGGATCTTTCTGAAGTGACCAAAATGTTGGAATTGAAATGGCTATATTGAAAAGTTAAATTTGAAAAAGGAATATGTACTGTAATGCAAACTAATAATGTACATTTCAAATATGATAAAAACTAACTTCAGCAGGAAAGCAAAAAAGCATCATAAATGCTCTGTATCACATTTTTCAAATTTCCATTTAAAAAAAACTTGATGAATGCAAATAAATTTTTTATTGTACAATGAATAAGTTTTAAGCAATTAAAAAATGTTTCTTTTAATTTCAAAAATAAAATACTGTATCAATATCTACTTACTCTCAATATGAAGTTTGGGTTATATGGTTGAGGCAATTCTATATTTCCAACTGCATCTTCTCCAAACATGCCTCTGAGGAAGTGATATGCACTCTGACCAGTACGGTTTTTTACTGTAAAATCTACCTGTGAACATTAAGTGTTTCGTAAAGTACTGTAATGCGAGTATTAACTGGAAAAATTAAGGGAGCATTTGCTGCAATGTGAACAAAGAAAAGGTGCTGTATATGATAACACTTGTGGAAGGTCATTAACCATAGTACATATACTTACTATCTGCCATCTTCCATTAAGGTAGGGTGGTGCAATTAAAAAGGAAATACTGCCATTCATTCAACAGCTGTCTTGCCAAAAGTGCACAGATATCACAATTTAAATGATCCTCCAAGCTGCAACAACCCTGACCAGAAGTGGACTGGCTCTTAAAACTGGCCCGGGCATCTGTCATCTATCAGGTTGGCTCGACCACTGCCAGTGCGACACTGACTGACTGACTGCTGAGGGTCAGAGGTGTGTTTTCACTGCTCAGCTAAGGTGCATTCCATTTCTGTTTCAATCTTTGTGCAGCAGCTATGACTTCAGTTGCTCATGAATTTTTTCAGCTATTTTCTTTTACCCAGCCCAGCGGCCCACCAGGCATTGCCTAAATGCCTCTATGGCCAGAAACTGGTTTTGCCACGTTCAGAATTCAAGTCTAACTAACCAGTTCCCCTGAACTCCTTAAAAAATGTAACTTTGCTTCACTCCAACCAGTCAACCTAAAACCACTAGTCTTCACTCATTAATAAAACACACTCCATAAGTCTGCTGGATGTAAACCTCTGCACAAAAAACCCTTTTACCCCCTCCCATAAACCCCTTCCTAAAGGACCCCCCTTCTGCTGACGCAGATTTATTACCCCCAAAGTCACCTATTCTGCCCATCTTCCCCAAAAATGCCGAAACCCCTAACACGCTACCTAGCCTTCTTAATTATCCCGGGAAAAACCCTACCCCCCATTTCTATGCTCCAAATACTCTGCAAAAGATTTGCCCAAAATGTTTCCCAACATGATATCAAAACACCTTTTAGCTCCTGGCTGCAACATTTAAAGCCCATCCCTTCTCCATTAAAGTGCTGATCCCACTTCACTTCCTATTTATTCTTAGTTTAAAACTTCTTCATTTCTTAGATGTTTTTTGCAAACCCCCCATTTTTTTGCCCTTCTCCATTTTTTGGGTTCATTTCGACTTCCAAGACCTCTCCCAAATATCTTCAAACAAAACAATTTAATTAAACCGAGGTCCTTATATACATTACATAGCAGAAAGGTTAATTTTTTTCAATGTAGAGACTTTTTAAAACTTTGAAAAGGGGGGGTGTGCGTTTCGGGAACCTTTTTATGTGATTATCTAAGTGTAGATTTTTTTGGGTTACCATCGGTGTTAAGCTTTTCTACTGTTGAACCCCAGAATAAGTCAGTAGGGCCCGCTTTACTGTTTCGCTTTAAGGGTTCCGCTAATACAGTCATTTCAAATTATGACCAAAATTCTCTATAGGCTCCCCCCCCCCTGACTTTTAATCGGTCCCCCATGCCCCAACTGGTTCTTTTACATTCTCTGTGGATCCTAAGCATTAATCTCTCCTTAGTCTGGAAAGTCCAAAATTTCAAGGTTTTTAAAAGTTTTTTCATTTTTAATCTATTCTGATAATTTACTTATGTATCCCTGTACCTAAAAAACTTACCACGTGTGGTTAGGTATTTTTTTTAAAATCGAAAGGTGCTTATTTTCCCCGGGACACCTATTTAAGCTAATAAAAATAATAATTTAAAATAATAATAATAATAAAACCCGGGGTCTCATTAAATGTGAATTACGTTAATAAATATTTCATTAATCCTTATGTTTTTTTTAAAAATTATAAAATAAACATGATACACAACATTAAAGATGATAAATAACCCCACAGAGAATAAAAAAACATAAATACGGATGGGGAGCAAGAGCCTGTACGGTGACCCCCAATCATATAATAATAATAATCACCGAATCCTTAAAGTTTATATTCGCTAATATATGGGGGGAAAAGCTTGGGGTATGAATGCTGCATGAGGAAAAAGGCTGGGGGCAGGGGAGAGTTTTTTGAGGCAATGGTGGTGTGAAATAATGCAGAAAAAATTCGTGTTTGGAAGTTAGGGGAGGTGGGGGGATTACCAAAACTGTTTCCAAGGGCTGGGGAAGGGTTTTTTAGGTGGTTCAGACATGTAGGAGAATGGACGAAAAGAGTGACTTCAAGGT